TGCTATAATCATTTTCTCACTCGCTTTTAGTAATATTTATCTCAGGTCTTTTTTCTAACTCAATTATTTTTTTGGTAATATCACTTGGTTTTTTGCTATCAAAAACCTCATTTCATTCCTCTAAATCACTTTTAATTTTATCATAGTCCTCTGGTTTCTGATTGGCTTCCAGCATTGGTATTCTTTCTAACTCAGTCTCTCAGTTATCCGGTAAGTTAGCAGGTTTTAATTCAGCATTTTTATATTTAGTTTTTCACTCATTTTTTTCATTTTCTAAGTCTTGATAAGCATTTTTAGTTTTTTCTAATTCATCTCTTGACCGCTGGCTTTTTTTCTGTGATTTTATTCTCTCTTGTTCTAGTTCAGTTATTTTTTCTATTAAGTCATTAACACCACTGCCATGAACCGTTAAGCCTTTTTCTGATTTTTGTTGTTCGATTTGGGCTTGTAAGTCACTAATTTCTCTTCGCTTTTCAGCCAACTTGTCAGTCAACTCGAATATTTTAACCCCTCTTTGGTTGGCTAAATTTGGATTTTCTACTAACCCCTTGTCTTCTAATTGTCCGACAAATGATTTAATATCAGTTAATTCTTTATTTAAGTCATTATTAAATGTTAATTGTTGGAGCAAATCGTTTTCATTTTTATTGAAAGGAATATTTTGATAAATATTTTGGGTAAAATTCGGGTAGTTAGGAACGTTAAGAGTAGAGTTGAGGTTCGCCAGAGCCGAGTTATTTTCTCCATAACCTTTTCCTTGGGTTCAATCATAGGTTCCATGAGTTCCAAAACCTGCTAAATAAGCAATTCCTAGATTTCGGACGGTTTTTTTTCAGGAGGAAGTTTTTATTGGTTTTTGCTGGTTCTGTTTTGTTTTTTCTGTTTGGGCTTCAAGTTTTTTTAACTCTTCTTCTTTTTCGGCTAGTAGTTTTAATGCTTCTTCGCCGCCCTTTTTTAGTGCCTCAATTTGCTGGTTGGCGTTGGCTAATTGCTCGGTCAATTTGCTGTTCTTGTTTTGTAGGTTTTCATTCTCTTCATTAATTTCGTGGTTTAGTCATTGATTAAACTCTAGACTTTCATTAAGGGAATTAATAGTTGTGTTAAGGTTGTCAATTTCTTCGCCATTTTCTCTACCATTGCTGATTATTGCTTGGCGAAATTTATCTCGGGCTCGTTTTTGGGCGTCTTGGCTTCTGATTAATTTATTTTGAAGATTACTTATTTGGGATTGATATTCGCGGCTTTGATTTTGCAACGTTTTAATTTCTTTCCCTTGCCTTGTGCTGTGTTCTTCTCCTTTTCCTAATGCTTCTCAGTGGGTTTGGGCTGTGGTTCAGGCTAGTTCTAATTCTTTCTCGTTTTCTTCTAGTTCATCTTTTAAAATTTTTATTTCTTTTTGTAATTTTACTATTTGGCTTTGTAATTGTTCTTTTTCGGGAGTTGACCCTTCTTTATTACGGTTTTCTAATTCTTGAATTGTGGTTGTTAATTCCTCAACGGTGTTTTGTAAGGCTTCGGCAGATTTGCTTTCTGATTCTAATTCTTTGTTCCTGATCTGCGTTTCAGATAATTGTTTGGATATTTGGTCCTTTTCTTGCCTTTCGCTAGTTAATTTGCTGCTTAGATTATCATTTTCAGCAGTTTTGGTTGCTAATTCACTTTGCTTATTTTGTAATTGGGTTTGAAGGGAAGAATTTTCAATTTCGGCATCGGTTGCTCTTTTCTCGCTTAGTTCTTTTTCTTTTGTTGCTTGCTGTTGGGAGGTCAGAGCAGCATCGCGTTCTTGTCGAGCAGTTTGTAATTGGTTATTTAATTCCTCAATTTGTTGGGCTGGACTTTTCTTCTGGCCCGGTGAACCGGCTGGCTTGGTTGTGCGACTGTTTTGACCTTTTTTAACTGGCTGGTTAGTTCTAATTTTTGGAGGGTTGGCTGCTGAATTTTTATTTTTTTCTTTCTCAGCATCAAGATTCCTTTTTAGTTTTTCTAATTCAGCATCTTTTCTTGTTAGTTGTGTTTCTAATGTTCTTTTGCTCTTTTCAATTTCTCCTTTTTCCTTTCTTACCTCCCTTATTCTTTTTCCAGTTTCATCTCTGCTCTTCTTAACGTCTTCTAATTGCTTTTTAACTCTTTCTAATGCTTTGTCTGCCTTATTTTTGTCATTTACTAGTTTATTATAATCTTTTTGGCTAATATCAGGACGTTTTTCTAATTGTTTTGCTTTGTTTTTCGCTTCAGTTAATTGTTGGTTTTTATTGGCTAATTGTTGTTGCAAATCATCCGGAGACTTTGTGGGTTTAGCATTATTTTTTCTAGGCCAATTTTGAGTTTTTGGGGCGGTTTGTTGAGATTTTTGGGCTTTGGCTAAGTTTTCTTTCAACCGAGCGATTTCGGACTCAAGAGTTTCCACCTTATCTTCAGCCTTTTGTCTTGCTTCGATTTCTTCGTTTAAGGCAATACTCACACTGTCCTCTCCTTCATCATCATTCACTTTGTTCCCTAAAATTTTTGCCAATTGAAGTTCTAAATCTGTTTTTTCTCCGCGGGCCTCAGTAAGTTCTTTTTTTAACTTTTCTATTTCTTCATTAGTATTGCTTGGTTTTTGGGGTGAAGTTGACGGCTCCTGCTTCTCATCGTTGCTCCCAATTCCTAACACTTCCTCTACTCTCTTTCGTCATTTAGTCCTTTCTAGTCCGAAATTTTTATTTAAGTCAGAAAAGTTGGCATTTAGCCCTTCTTTTATCATTCTTTCAGTCAGAGCAATTACTGCTACACCACAATCATGACCGTTACCTTGCTTGATATCGTGCTTTTTCACTAAATACTCCTCTAAATCAACCTCGTTATTCTGGTGAATTTGTTGCAATAATTCTTTAACTGTTGGCTTCACGTAATCGTAATTAACTCCTTGTAAACTGCTGTCAAAATGATAAAATTTCCCACTTTCTGGTTCATAAACCAAGAGAGATCAGTGAAAATCGGGGTTATTAACCGGAATAAAAACTAGTTCTTTGCTTTTATCATTTATTTCATTTAATAGTTCAGGAAAGGAAAAATAGGCTCTGGCTTCCGCTTTCTTGCCGGCTTCTCGCACATAATTAAATCGATAAGCAGGGAGTATTTTGTTGTTAGAAGAGAATGGCGATTGGTCAAGGGCTCAATCAATTTCTTTGTCAGTTAATCACCTTTTGTCTCGAAATCAATCTGACTCAGGAAAGATAGTTCCTTTTTCTTTCTTTATCGAATCTGTTGGAGTTTGTTCGTTTATTATTGCTTGTAAACTAATATTTTGGTTTTGTAAGTCAGCATTTTTCCTCTTTATGTTTTCATAGTCGCCGTTGAGACAGCATCCATTCAAGCAATTATGTTTCTCTGAACTACTTTCAAAAAGTTCTAATTTTCTTTTTGTTTCTTCCAGTTCACTCTGCAAATCAACTATCTTTCTATCCTTATCATCAGAATTAAAGTCGTTAGGTTCAAGCGTTCCAGAAATGTCAGTGTCATCGCTAGTTTCGCGGCTGTGATGAGCTCTTATCGAACGATTATCATTTATTCTGTCTAACTCTTCTTCTAGACGGATTTTTTCTCCTTCTAATGTTGCGTATTTGGCATTTAGACTTACTATTTCATTATCTTTTGCTTTTAATTGATCCCTGAGTTGGGCCATTTTTTGAAGATTTTCACCAATATCAAAACTTCCACTGCGCCGGAAAGAACTGCTTCGACTGCGGTTGCTGTTGCTTCTTGAATGGCTGCTTGTTGATTTTTCTGAGGTGGTTTCTGGGTTGGAATTTGCCCCACATCTCGGACAACAATGACCATTTCCTTTTTCATTAGAAACGGAAGGGAATTTAAACTCACTTAATTCATCAACAGGAGTGCTTGTTAAACTTCTTGTTCCTTCCAACGCTGCTTTTTCGGCGTTTTTAATTAATTTTTCTAACTGGTCTTCCTCGTCATTTCCTTTTTCCTCGTTTTGTTGGGATGGTTGGCTGGTTTTTTGTTTTCTTCTTCGTTTTAGTTCTTCGTCCTTTTCTGCCAACTTTTTTTGTAAATCTTCTATTTCTTGTTGAAATTTTTCTCGAGCCTCCTTTGATATTCTTTCCATTTCTTCTACAGAAACCGCCGAAGAAATTTTTTTCACTTCCTCAGGAGAAGTTCCTTCGGCCACTTCCGATTGGCTATTTTCCTCCTCAACTATCTCCTCGTCAATTTCGGGATTTTGGTTTGTGTTGTCATTAGCAATTTTCTCCAATTCTTTTTTTAATCGGTTAATATTGCTAATTACTTCTTCTCTGTATTGGCCCCAGAGTTTTACTTGTCAAGGAAGTCCTTTAGGCCATGTTTCTTCAACTGATTCTAATCCAGTAAGTTTATTTTCCTTTTCCTCAGGACCACTTTCTTCGCTATTAAGCAGGTTTCTAATAAATTCATTCTCAACTACTTCCTGCCGTGCTGCAATGTCTTCAGTTCTTTGGTCGACAGTAAGAGTTGGGGGGTTGGAAATAGGAGCATCGTCGTTTTGTTCCTCAGCTTCTTTAATTTTATCTGCATGGTTATTGATAACCTCCGCCTGGTCGGCTCGGTTTTCATCTATCATTTGGTTAAGGTCATCCTCAATTTCCTTATTTCTCAATTGTTCTTCTAACTCCTCAGCCTTCTTGGCTAGGTCATTGCCTTGATTGACTAATTTTTGGTTTTCATCATCCAATTCTTTGATTTTGGAAGTTTGCTCTTCAATTGTTTTCTGCTGGCTATCCAATTCTCCTTCTTTATTTTTAATGATCTCATTCAGTTTTTCAATCTTCAATTCCAACTCTCCAATTCGTTCGCTATTGTTTTGTAGTTTAAGTTCATCAAGCAAACTGAAACTTTTTCTCCTTGGCTTTCCTTCTCTGTTAGTTGCCTGGCTGGTTTGGTTTGATTGCCACTCAAAAAATTCTGGACTTTGGGCAAACTGACTGTTTACCTCTGACAATTCTTCTTTTACCCTATTCAGGTCTTGTATTTCCTCTTCATAACTTTGTCTTTGCTCTTCTAATTTATTTTCTAACTCAATTTCGTAATCATTTTTAGCCTGTTCGAACTCTTTCTTGGCTCGTTCAATAAAATCTACTAACGTTTGCCCTTGTTCTTGAACCTTGTCAGTTAGTTTTTTATTTTCCGCCGCCAGTGTTTTCTTCTCTTCTATTAGACTGCTGGTTTGACGAATTAATGCGGTGTTTTGTTTGTATAACTCGACGTTTTTTTCCTCTGATTGCTCCCCTTTTAATTTTTCTTCCGCTAATTGTTCTTGTAGATTGTCAATCTTGCTAAGGGCTTGGTTACTAACTTCTTTAAAAAAAGCATTATCATTAGTTTCTTTTTGCTTTAGTTGTTGGTTCTCATTTTCTAAACCTCTTATCTGATTTTCTAACTTCTTGCTTGCTTCGAAATTCTCCTGCCTTTCCGTTTCTAATCTGTTTATTTTTGAGTTGAATTCGTTTAATCTTTGCTCTTTGTCTGCAATTGATCTTTCTTTCTCACGCAATTTAGTTTCAATTCCGTCAATTTTCTTTCGAAGTTCTTCGACTAGGTTTTCTTTTTCTAGGAGATTATTGTTTAGTTCTTCTATTTGTTGTTCTTGGAGAAGGTTTTTGTTTTCCGAATCTCCAATGGTATTGTTGATTTTCCGAACATTTTCCCTTAAATTGTAGAAGAATTTGAGTGTTTCCTCATTAATGTTGGGGTTATTGGCATTTAAAAGGGCTTGTTTGGTTGATTCGCTTTCAAGAAATTCTACATCGACGCCGGAACGAATTCCTGATAAAAGATTGTTTAAAGAGTTGTTTACTATTTCTTGTAGTGGTGTGGTTTTCCTTTGCTTGTTTTCTTCTTCCGATTTGTCACCAAAAAATTGTAAATCAAGTTCAGGTAGCCTAAGCGATGGGAGGGGTTTTTCCTCTATTCCCTTACTCCTTCGAGCCTGCGAGTGCTTTGCTCTCTCTCTCTCTCTCTCTCTCTCTCTCTATGTTATCATATATTATGATATTACTCAGTGATTTTTTAACTACTTCTTTTGATGTTCTTAGTAAACTATATTCATTTTGATTTTCTACTTGACCTTTTTGGCGTTGTGTTGTGATACTCTGCATAATGAAATATTTTAGCACTCAAAGGTAGGCAACTAAGCGGTTATTATCTATTGTAAATTACGTGTTATTAGCAGCCTTTTAATTTAAAAAAGTGAGAGGAAAAAATTTGCTTAAATTTAGTGAAAAATAATTGGTCATAAAACTTTTTTTCAACTAAAAATTAACTAAGAGGGTTATTTCTTTTTGCCACTTTTTTGCAATTTAGTTAGTATTTTTTGTAAAGATTTATGGTGAACCTTGATTTTGCTAATTTCTAATGAATTATCGGTGATTTCTCTAACTTTTCAAAATATCGTTTGGACCGAGCCAGCAATTATGCCAACCTCTATAAACTCTTTAATTTCTCAGTTGCTTCCGTGGATTCTTACATAAACAAGGCAAAAGAGGATACTTAACCCGGGAATAATTAAATTAGGCAAGTAAGAAAGAGTTTTTTTTTTTAACGAAGCACGATTTTTTTGGAAATTTGAGTCAATTAATTTTTCGACCTCTTGTGGTTTAGATTGTTTTTCCAGGTATTTTTCCATGGCTAAGTTTTCCTGCTGACGAAATTGATTTTGTTTTTGATTAATTTTCTTTTGAATTCTATAAGCAAAAAAACTTAAAAAAGCGATAATTAGAGAAACGATTATAAAAAAAGAGATGACAAAAATGCGAATTGGAGAATTGCTCTTGCCAAACTTAGCCACAAAAATAAGAATCAGGATAATGTTAACAATTGCAGCATATATCCGCTGGGGTACCAAAACAAAAAGGGGTACAAATAACTCACTTTCTCCGAGAAAATTGCTTAATACTTCTTTATTATGCCGACGAGTTTGGGAGGGATTTTGGGAACTGTATTTGAGTATCAATTTTCTTAACTGTTTACGACATGATTCTAAGGTGTAATTTTTCAAGTAATCTAAAACCAGACTGGCTAGCAAACTACCAATAAAAAAACAAAAAAAGGCGTACAGAAGTAAGCCCCCCCGTGTTTTAATAGTAATAGTTCCAAATAATGATGAATAATCCTTCCACTCTTTATAACTTCAAATTTTTAGGCTGTGGACGGATTGATAATAAAAAAAAGAAGAAAGGAAAGTGAAAAAATATCAAATAATTAATTCTTTTTGAAGTTTTTTTAACAATCAAGAATAGAGAGAAAATTTTCGACTTTGTGGCTCAGACATAAAACTATTTTATTATTTTGTTTTTACTTTATGCTCTACTTGCTTCACTATAATATTTATAAAATTATATAGGAATAATAATAAAAATATAAAAAGATATGAACAGCAAAGAAATTAAAGTAAACAGTCCAGAAGAATTAATAGCCAAAATAAAAGAATTAGTGGCGGAGGATAGTAACTGAAAACTAGTGGAGGAATATTGAATTTCTAGCACTACTTCTTGCGAGCCAGACGGAAGTGAGAAAGTAATAAAGCAGCCTCGCCAAGGGGTAAAGTTAACGAACAAGCAACAAGAGTTAGATGTTTATTGTGAGGTAGGAAGCCCTTTTATCGCTTTCGGCAGTATCGATAATGAAAAAATGAAAAATTATCTAAAAATGAGTGATGAAGTAAGAAAAATTATTGAGAGGAGTGATGAAAAAAATGACTTTCCTTTTCGCCCAAGCGAGACCCAACCTGTCGCTCCAATAGCCCCTAAAAACAGCGGAGAAATATTTTGAAGTTCTCGTTATGTTGGCTGTCCGAGTTTAGAAAAAGCCAAAGAATTAATAAAAGAATACTATCAACAACACCAAAAAGAAATTCAGGAAAACGTGCATTTTTCCCGCTGAATAAAGGTGGAAAGTAGAGAGAGAGAGAGAGAGAGAGAGAGAAGAAATTTTATGTTTATGTTGGAAACCCCAAAAAATATCCTCCTGACCTTCCCGGCTGACAGAAAGAACTTCACGACTCACTAGATTATATGAGTAAAACTGAGTTAGTTTTAAGTATGGGTAGTAATTACCAAAGCACCGCCCAAATTGAAAAAGAGTTAAAAGAGTTTTGAAATAATTTGATTGAGAAGGAAGGGGGTAATCGTCCACCTTCCCGAAGTCAACCCGACAAAAATGGTAATGAGAGCCCAAAAAAATCCAACAATGAAGTTAACTGATTAGTAAAAAGTTTGGTTATTTTCTTAGTTATTATGTTGCTACTGGGCGGGGCTGTCGCTATTCGCAGTTTTGTAAGGAAAAAAAGAAAATAATTCTACAACTCTAATTTCTGACACTGGGGACAAAAAAAACTGCTACGATTGTTTATTCTTTCCATAATAATGGGAGTTCGGCATTCATAGCAAGGTTTATTTTCTCGCATGTAAACTTTTAATTCGTTTTGATAAGAGCCTTTGCCGCGCAAGGGGGAAACGAAATCGACCACTGAGGTGCCACCTAGTTCTATTGCTTTTTTTAAAATGGTTTTAGAATAATAAAGTATTTTGTCAATTTCTTCTCGCGAAATTTTATTAGTAGGTTTAAGGGGATTAATTTTACAAAAAAAGAGAATTTCGGAGGCGTAAATATTGCCGATACCGCTCATGATTTTTTGTTCCAGCAAAGCCGACTTAATTGGTATCCTTAATTTTTGAAAACGAGAAAGTAAGTAATCAGGGGTAATTTCTTCTTGGATGAGGTCGGGTCCAATTTCTCGATAAGGTAATAGGGAACGAAAAGTATCTAATGGTTGTAAGTAAAAAACGCCAAATCCACGCGGGTCGCAGTAGAAAAGTTTTTTTCCATTAGCAAAAGAAAATATTAGGGCAACTTCGTGATTATTCTCTTGAAAAAAGTATTTTCCGGTCATTCGCAAATGACTAATAAGAACCTGATTGTCGAGGAAAAAAAATAGTCACTTGCCTTTTCTTTCTATGCTATTAATGGTCTTTCCTAGCAAATTATTAACAAAACTATCAGGACTTACCTCTTTGATATGAAATTTTTTTCTTATCTCTACTTGGGAAAGAGGAGAACCAATTATTCCACTACCACGGAGGGCTTGCAGAACTGTTTCGACTTCTGGTAATTCTGGCATTTTAAATTATATTTTGTTAGTTTTTTTGAGTAATTCGGACAGGGCAGGAACAGTATCTTTTTTTCTCAATTCGTCTAGTTCTAAATAAGCCCACCCTGAATTTAATTTATTAGGTTCTTTTGCTTTTAACTGGCCGCTTGCTTCTACTTTATAGAAGTAAACTTCAAACTTATTTTTGTGGTCGCTAAACTGGAATAATAGTTTGCTTACTGCTTTGACATCCATATCTGTTTCCTCCTTGACTTCTCTTTTTAATGCCTCTTCGTGAGTTTCACCTATTTCAACCTTGCCGCCCGGGTTTTGTCATTGCCCTGGCGCGACGCTATTAAGAGACCTTTGTGAAGCCAAGATGCGACCTTTTTCATCTTGAATTATTGCCACCACTACTGGAGGATAATTTATTTTTGTCACAACTACTTTTTTAATGAATAACCATTTTTTTTAATCTTTTTCAATCACTGTTGTCTAATAAAGAACTTTTTCGTAAATGTCTTTTTTGCTTGGTGGATTTACTATAAGCAAGGTGGGAAGTATAGGCTCGTCAGTGTTTTAATTTACCTTTCGAGAGGGTTTTAAATCGCTTAACTAACGATCTTTTTGAGTGAAGTTTTATAGTCGGCATATATTATATTATTTAAGTCAATAATAATTTACAAGGTGAGTCGATTTTGCTTTAATCCTCTTGTTAACAGCACTAGTTTGCTGAGGATTAGGGGGCTCCAAACTCTTTTTTGGTGTGCTTAAATTTTTGGTCTAGATTACAGTTTTTTTCTGATGGGGAATCCTTTTCCAGTTGAGGATTAGAAGGTTTTTCTCGGGAAGAAGAAGTTAGTAATTTATAGAGGTTTTTTTGGTTAGTGGCAAAATCATTTTCTAAGTAAGGATAGCGAATAATAATAACAAAATTGTAATGGGAATGATTATCGCTTATTTGGCAACTGTCATGGTGCTTTTTTAAGTGGGATATTAGCATGTCCCTGACCTGTCTTTTAAAGCGATTGCGGTCGACTGCCTTTTTGATTATTTTTTTTGGGGTGCTAATACCAAATTGACAGTTATTAAAATTATTTGATACTGAAAAAAGAACAAAACTAGGGTTAACTATTTTTTGTCCTTTTACGATTATTTCTTGGAACTGTCAATTTTTTCGCAGACGGTAAGGTCTTCACAACATTAGTCTTATATATTAATATTATTTACCGTATTTTTTAATTTTGCTTTTGGCTGACCTTTTGCCCCATTCGCCAAAAAAAATTACGTTGCTTATTGAATAATTAACTTATTTCTTGACTACTTGAGGCACTTTATTTTATCTTTGTCTAATTTTCTTTTCTAAGTAAGGAGATGCTTTGTATTTTATTTGGGTTGCTCCTCCTAAAATTGGCTCAGTAGTTTTTAATCATAGTTTACCATCATTAGTCATTTCTGCTCTAATTGAACCTTCTTTTAATTTTCTATTTAACACTTTTATTAATAATAATTCCTCTTCAGCATTTTGAGAAGGAGGCAATAAGTTAGGGTCAGTCATTTCCTCCACTAATTTATTTAT